GCTCAAAAGATGGTTGACAATTAATCAAACATTTTCCACCATATATGTATGTATGTACGTATTTAGTTACCCTTTAAACAGTACAAAGAAATAATTTTAATTCTAGAAATACAAAATTAATTATTATATTTCAGCCCGGTTTGTTTGAATTATTGAGAGCTGTTAATATTTACAGGTTCATGCATATCCTTTAGCATGTTCAAGTATACCCGACCCGAAAAAACTCATTAGTAACCAAGACTATAATTACATGTTTCGAGGTTTCACATCTGCAACAATGCTTCGTCCCGAGATTAAGCTCATGTCCAGGAAATGTTTGTTTACCAGCCTTAATTTTATTAAGGAATGTTGGACCATGTTGGGCATGTTATCGTTGGACATGTTGGACCACCTTTCGGCACGAGGCATACATAATTTATACATAGCGCTTACCAAAAGACATTGTTGTTTTAAGACAAATACAAATTAATATTTAAGACAATATTTAGCATTTAATTCTCTTTTTCATTACAAATAAATTGTAAAACGAATTAATTGTTCTGATTGTTGTATCCAAAAGGTTTGTATTTTTGCCGAATGAATATTCATTCTTGAATGATTACGATGAATGTGGCCACGTGCGCTTAACTTGTTCTACCAATAGTTTGATTAAAATTGAGATATTATGTCGTTTTAGAATGATCCCCTAATCCATGAAAAATGTGAGCACAACTAAATCGAAAGTCATGATATTTACCGTATTTTATGTATGATGCCTGGAGATGAGGAATTACAAGGGACTAAAAATTCGTCCGCGAATATAATCCATACCGTTATAAATAAAATATGCCTACTTGATTAATGACCGGAACATGCAAGTATTTGCTTAAACTGATGAACAAATGCATGAGTATTTATCGCTCATAGCCACATGAAGGTGCACAAAGCTACTCATGTACAGTACAACAGACGTTTTACGTGTTTAGTTCACATGTACAAGTGACATGGACAATATGGCTCAGTTTTGTACCACAATAAATTTCTAATGCTAAATTCAGGGGCTAATTTAATCAACAATGAAGCTCGATTGAAATCCAATTTGAAAATGCAATAACCTTGGGTGAAATCAAGTTTAATATGCTTGATACAAGTTGAAAATATGTAAAACATGTAATCAAAACTCATATGTTATCCACATTAAATAAACACTTTGCTGAGCCGCAGTGTGTACATCTATATTATAAGCTGGAAATGTTTGTTGGCAACGGAAGTGAAAGTAATTTGTCCGCAACGGAAGTGAAAGTGAAGAAAGTGATTTGCATATCTACTGCGTTGGAAAGTCGATAACTCAGTTATTCAGGATTTGCTGGTTAGCTTATCAGGAAGGGAAGTTAACAAAAATTATTAAGTGCAGATATCGCTCTGGTGGGGGGAATGGGAGGATGTGCCCCCCTGAGACATGTTTATCGCTATGCTGGGGGGAATAGGAGGGTGTGCCCCCCTGGGATATAGTTATCGCTCTGCTGGGGGGAGTGGGGGGTGTGTGCCCCCCTGGGATATGGTTATCGCTCTGATGGGGGGAGTGGGGGGTGTGTGCCCCCCTGGGATATGGTTATCGCTCTGATGGGGGGTGGGTATGCCAGACATTATCATTTATATTTGCCTATTATCCCAATGCTAGGTGTGAAACGTTGGTGAAGTCACTTACCGAAGGGCCTTTAGTTCATTTGTTCCGGATATTTAAGGAACATTCTGTTCCGTTCAGGCCTATTCAGGCCCGTTCCGATACCAGTGACATAAATTTCGCTATGTGTGGATGACGGGAAGGAGAACGGATTCCGTTCCCTTCATGTGTAGACCATATTCATATCGGATTTAGAGATAGATTACTTAGGCTACACATAAGGGAATGGAATTCCCTTCCTCTTCCATTCCCCTTGGATATACTTCAGGCGCAGTAGGGAAATCTTCACATCAATGGAAGAGAAGGGGAATGGAGTTCCGTTCCCTTCGTGTGTGGACTATACGTTATCGTTATGCTGAAAAGAATATGGGATGCAAGATATTAGCTCAAGAGTTTGCCTATCGAAAATGGCTACACCCCCAGTGTTGGGTGTGATCTATTGGTGGGGTCAGGCACCTAAATGAAATCAGTCATTTCAATTTTTTTGAAGACTCCTGGTGGACCATATTACTATTGGATTGTTTAAATTGCAAGATATTTACTTAGCCGATACATAAGGGAATGGAATTCCCTTCCATTCCCCTTGGATACACTTCAGGGGAAGTAGTGAAATCTCAAACGAAAGGGAAGGGGAATGGATGCCGTTCCCTTCATGTGTGGATTATATGATGGGAGTGCCGAACATTAGCTGGGGAGTTTGCATATCGAAAGTGGCTGCACCCTCAGTTTCGGGTGTGATCTGTTTGTGGGGTCGCGCACCTAAATGGCCACTACCTCTGTCTGATCTTGCCGCGTTGGGATGTGGTTATCACTCTGTTGCACAGTGGTCTGGGTTGCTTGATTTGTTTGCCAAAACCTATAACTCTCGAACAATTGAATTTCTTCTAATTCTGTCTTCGGGAATCGAGATATGAAGTGCCACGGGATATAAGTTATGCAACTATAATTGAATGCCACACCCTTTGTGGGTGTGGTCAAAAGAATATAATTATTTTCTCGCGTTACCCCATCAAGTGGGGTATCGTTGGAAAGGTCTCATCAAGCTCTATGCAAGTCAGACTAACATTTAGACATTATCGTCACACCCACCGCCAGGGGGTGTGGTCAAAAAGTAAATTTAAAAGTTTTGTTTCGATACATTTGAGGATGTCTTTTTGGCAAATAACAATATTCTATAATTTTATTGAATATTTCTGCCCTCTGACTTCATTAACATAGAAAACTGGGCCAAAATTAAAAATTTCGTCGACCCTCCTCAGGGGGCCACCACGTCATAAAATTCCCCCTTTGGTAATAAATTTTTTCGAAGGGTTTGTTGTACCAAGTTCCCTTCCCCAAGGAATGGGCAAGGTATTTCGAAGCGATTGTGTTGTTTCGAACGCCCAAAAATTTCATACGTGGCAATAATTGGAGCACCTGAGATATTTTTTTTATTCGTTCTCCCTTAAAATAAATTCAAATTTCTATTGATATACGCGACGGTTGCAGCTGGTTGCAGCAGTTTTAGTAGGTGAGATGTGGGGGATTAATAAGGTATTTACAGTTCCTCGAAATACCACAGGACTAAACAGGATTTTCAACTTGAAGTTTTTCCCATTTAGCCCAATGCTATAAGGCAAATCTAGGCATATGCCACGCCATAACCGGTTGAACAATTCCAATGAAACTTTCCACAATTGAACATCTATGTCAAAGGTACCGAAGACGGTAGTTTGTTTTCGAATCGGTGAGAATAGGTTTTGGCCAAGAAATTTAATATTCCAGACCACTGTGTGTTGGGGGTGTGCGGGCTGGAGCCGCAGTGAAGTCGTCAAACGATGGTGAACGGGAAGGGTTCCGTTCCTCACCTCTTCACGTCGGATATACTTCAGACGAAGTAGTGGCATCTTTGTATGAAGGGAATGGAAAGGGAACGGATTCCCCTTCCCGCAATTTCGTATTTTGTCAAGACTCCTTTCCAGCTCTCACTGCAGCTTTACATAAGGAACATGCTCCCAACGAGACAAAAACACAGTAGCCGCGGAAGGGTGGGGACAGAGGGACGAGGGGAAATATCCCCTCGGTTATTCGAGGTTCCCATAGGCTGCCCATGTTATGCACATTCCATTCCCTTCATGTGTAGACTAGGTAGATTTAAGGAATGGAATCCGTTCCCTTTCTATTTCCTTCATGAGGGAATGAGGCCTCCGATGAGTTACTCAAATCTTATACTGGAACAGATTTTGAAATCTGAGCTCGAATATAATATCATACGCGCTTTGACATGCCACACACCAGCGACCGCGTGGACCAAGTCAAATGTCACATATGTCGAAAGCGTCAAACGTGTCTTTGTTAACACAATTTGAATCTGGTATAACAATATGATAATTTTCCATGGATCCATTCTTTGAGCACTGTTGAGATTTCATAAATATTTTAATTTTCTTACCATCCACTTCCATCATCAACTCAAACCATCAATTTCACGTTCTTTGCAAATTCCTTTGACTTCCGTTGGTGACAGAACTTGAGCTTATTATATAGATTAATGTATTTAATTGGTGGAGTTTTCCAAAATTCCACCCAATTTTCATGAAAATCAAATAAGCTCGCGCCCGCTGGAGACGGGCTTATACGCTAGTATCCAATACCTGCAATTAGTAATTAAAGATGGTACATTTATGCTTGCATAATTTTTAGACAGTGTTATATTGCATACTCAACCCATTTCTAGATATTAATAACCTCTGCAGACTTAGGCAAAAGTACAGGAATTCCATCCACAAGAAAATATGGTGTAGATAGGGAACTTCCGTACATTATGTCGTCTAACAGGCGGGTGGGTGGCTGTGAGTCGGTGCGTCGATTGAAGTCAAGTTGTGGGTAGGTGATCTATGCAAATTGGGTTTTCTATGCAAAATATATGGACGTTGCAATATGGGATGTCATGAGATGTTATGTGCATGTGCGTCATACATACATACATACATTTGTCTGTCCTAGATGTACATATGTACCAAAATGTTTGTTGTATTATACAAATTTTGGTGTGCATTATAATATAACAATCCAACCGCATCAGGCCCAATACGGTATATAAAGCGGCTAAGCAACATTCAATATACACAATCACAATTATCTGCCTGATCAGTAATTAAGTATGTAAAGATAACTCAATTCCGCCACAACTTCAACACCATAGGTACATACACAATTGACTTTATACTCTTTTGTTTTGAAGGTTACGTGGCATCACCAATATTTAAGCGAATTGTAGTTAATTGCGCAAGTATTTGACAATAAGATTGCCCTCTCTATATTAATGCGCGTTCAGTTCACGTCGAGCCGATGGAGGAATAATTTCTGTTGCATGAATTAGATTATTAAATTTCGTAGAATTAATTTACTGATGTGTTTGTTTAAAACCGCCAAAACTTTTGTTTCGCGTTGGCGGGCAACGTTACGTAATTAAAAAGCCGTGACAAAATGGAGTACTTGGACCTAAATCTTCGCCAAATTAATGTACCAGGTTTTAACGAGGTTTGCGACCGAGAGTTTGAAAATTGGATGAATAAATTGCTCAAATCAGATATTTCGGTGAGCATTTATAAAAATATCGGAGTATATTTATACATACCTGAAATGGTTTTCTTAACTTGTATGTACAGGAAGCCTCCAAAGAACAGTTCAGCATGTCTCAGTTTGTGGGTGATATTTCAAAAGTTGTGAATGTGGGTATTTATTTATTTGTTATTTTTTTTATTTTTTGGGGTTACAAATATTTGGGTCTTAATTAGAGCCCATAAACGGTAAACCTTAATAATTCATGTATGCACACTATCATAAAACCGTTTAGGGTTCCTTGCGGTCCTGGAAATTGATGAGCAACAAACATGGGTCAATGCGCCTCGCCGATTTTTTGGAGAGACACAATTTACCGGAAATTGCAGGTATGTACTTGTAAACGGAAAATAATTTGGTGTGAATATGCGGTGTAGAAAGATAGGCTACGTGAGGAGTACATTAAAACCGGTTTTACACCACGCTGAGTGCATGCACAAGCGACATGTTAGATGCACATTAAGTATACATTTTTTGATAATCATTAAAATCTCTATGGAGACTAAAAATCTATTCTTCATACACCGGTTTACATTACATGTAAACCTAAATTTGGGCAGTTTTTAATGTTTCGTAAAATATTTGTGTGGGAACGTCGATATATGTACCCAGAAGGTGGATACCTAAGTGGTTTTGGGTCGTTTATCTTAAAATGATTTGGATAGGGTATGCTAATACGGTAAAACTCGGAGTTTTTGGATGACGTAACGTACAGACATTCCCTCTATATTCTAATTGTAACTGATTCTTAAACGTATAAATCTACCAGAATACGTGAAAAAATGCACGATACAGGATGGAGATTGTGCGCACACCCTGGTGGAAAACCATCCACTGATGCCCTCAAAACCAAATCCATGCGCAGAAGAAGGTGTCACATTTCGATACTTAAGTTTTTGTACCTGCACAATTCGACTTGCTCGCATGTAATCCTAAAATTACGTATGTATTCTTGCAGAATCCAGGCAAGCCCGGAACCTCCATAATTTTAAGGACATCGTCAAGAATTTCATAGCAATGAATTCTTTTCCCATCATCGTAATTCTGTTACTGACACTACCCACCGGTTTTGTTACTGCATTTATGGCAGGGTATCATATGGCTCAATCCTCCACTGCTCCTCTTGCACTATTAACACTGCCAAACTACGAATTTTTTACAACTTTACCCATTCCGTCTAGCAGTCCAGCCACAGAAAGAGGTTATCCCATCGTATCTTCGTCGTATCCCTGCATCATAAAAGGCATACTTTCCTATGGCGGAGTACACCCTGACGTAAACCCTAAGCATTCCCACACCTTAGATTTCTCCCAAGATACCGCAAACTTTTGTGCACAAACAGATATTTTGGCAATCGTACGAATGGATGACGCCAAACATTCGAAGCATCCATCCATCGTTTTCCAATGCCCAGAAAACGTGGTTGGGCTAGAGGTCAGTGGTCAAATCCAGTGGAAATTTTTGCTTGACTTGGTGCGCAAATTTTGCAATTTGCGAAAAATATCTTTCGTTGGAAGCGATGTTTGCCAATCTAGCACTGAAGATATTGTAGATGGTGCGCTGGCGTACCCTATTACCCACTTAAGTTTTAAGGCTTTCACCGCATGCAGTAACTTATTTGACAAGGTGACCAAATATTTTATGTCACATGTCCTAAAAGTGATAACGTTTTCCTGCGTGCAATTCGAAAATAGTGGGATACAAAGTTTGCAAAACTTGATTGATACTTTTCCCACGGTTTCAACGGTGCAGTGTTCAAATAGCAATAATTGTATCGGTTTCAAAGCGAAGATTCCGAAACATACTATGCTGAGGATGAAGTATGAAAAATGCTAAGTACTCAGGCCATAGTGTTTACATGTTAAGCTACCCTTGCGCATATGATAATTGTAAGAACTTATGTAAAATAAATTTTGGTCAATAAAACTGTAAAGTTTTTAAAGTCTAGTCCTCGTCAGCGTTTAAAAATTATTTAAAAATTAATTTTAGTTCAGTTGTTGGACATTATTGGACATTATCATAGTTTTCCTAATTTACTTAATTTCCCTTCTTCTTCCCCATCAGAGGATCGCTAACGAACTTATTAGCAAATGGACTACCAGCTACTAACTATATACTTTCGGTTGGAACTTTAATTAAATAGTTTGACCAACAACTACATATGTTGTCGGTCAAAATTCTGGTCGTGAATAAATGGAAGATGTTTATGAGAGAAGGTGCACATGTATATTTTCCTTCTGAAATAAAATTTCATGTAGTTTTACTTTACTGATAATAAAAGCACAGTTTGAGTATTCTATATAATACGAAATTAATAAAATTTTGATTTCCTTTACGATTTGGACATACGCAGTAGCGGAACTATAAATTTGTGGCCGGTAAATTTGTCCAATCTGTTTATTTACATACACATCTAAAATCGAACACTATTCGATACACATGTATCAATAGAGATATTCAACATCTTTATGTTTTTATGACTTAGGATTGTGCAAGTTGTTATTGTTTTCATAGCGCTGTTTAATCAATGACGATATCTATTGTATCCACATACCCTTGTGTCACGCTTTTAAGTGATGTGTAAACAACTGGATCGAGATGAGTTATTCCATTTCGTTCGCATTGTTCATTGTGAGTTATAGCTGAAGTGGGTTGAACGAAGGTACACAACATTGTGCAGAGCCCAAGCCTATTCCCAATTTTTGACAAAAAGAAGTAGTTTGGTAACGAACCGGAGGACAAAAACTAATTTTCGCCTTAGCCAAGGACAAGTTAACTTCTGCTAACTCGAATCACCGAGGAAGTGTTATTATATTGTATTTTTTTAAATGTATAAATTCTATGGATAACTGCTAAATGCATAGTTTTTTCCTTGTAAATGATCGCAATGGAGCCTCCTCATTTCCCCATAAACCAACAAATATCATCGGCCATGGACATATTTTCACATTGCATTATAACGCTGATTCTTGAAAATCTGGACATCAATTTGATTCCAACGCATCCCATATTACTCGTGTTCGAACCAACCCAAAATTTCACCATCAAACATGATGAATCCTACATATATCCCGGATTTAAATTTGAACAGGTTGCCTTTGTGAGGAGAAAACATCCTGAAAGGTTTTGCTGGGCAAATATTTTCTCTGAAATTGGAAGGGTATTTTACTCTGGAACTTTCTTACATTCTCCCTTATTTCCAAGAATCTCTGGATCCATTGGGCCAGTGTATTTCGTTTGGATAGAAAATCAGAAACTAAGCATACAGGATGAGTTGGACACAATCTACAGGCGGATGTTACACACCGATCTTAAGAAAATGGGAAATCGAGAGTTCTGTCTTTTTGACGGTCATCAAAATATTTATCACTTTAATCGTTATCACCGACAGGACAAAAGTCTTAATCCTAACCCTATCCCACTCCATCTCATTCGCAGCTCTCTAAAGTACACTGAACTTATTTGTTCTAAAGAAAACTGGACCGATTGCATCGTCAGAATTGATAAAACTGCTGACCTCGTGGCGACCACGTTTAACAAATGCTTTTGGATTTTTGCCGACTGGATGGACGTGATTTGGGGTGAACTCGAATACGACGTTACGGTTCGTAAAATGCAAATGAAATACTTCTTCCAAAAGCCTCAGATAGACTGGCTATCTGTTGCAAATGAGTCACAGTCCCTTGATGACTTCATTGCATACGCAATTTTAGCCCATACTCTGCAAAATATTACAATCCCTCAAGAAATCGGGTACAATGAAAAACATTTTTACTTTGGATCCTCTTCTTTACGTAACATTGCAGGCAACCACCAAACTATACTGGTAGAGATGAAGTCGTGTAGTTTTATTTCCTGCTATGGAATTCAACACAAACTGTCGTATGAAGTGTTTACCAAACCATTTGATCTTTACACGTGGGCTGGTATTTTCTCGGTGGTAGTTATGTTTGTTGCAATGTGTAAGCTGGCGTCTTGGATGGCAAAGGACGAAGTGCAGGACTTCAAGGGAGCTCCAAAAGATTACGGGCGCCCAGAAGATATTGTGATCGTTTCGTTCTCTGTACTTTTGGAAATCTCACTTCCAGAATATATTCATAGGGTTATTCCAGCTAAAGTTATTCCCATTTTCTGGTTTTGGATTCTATGTTGCGGAGCAATTACGTCCATGTACAAAGATGTATTCACGGCTGAAGTAATACTACCTTATCGAAGAAACCCATCATGGTCTCATATCTATGATCTTGAAGAACTTGGATTTAAATTTCTTCTACCACTTAGCCAGGTTCCCCTCTACGAACAATGGTATTCCAACCCAACCCCTGTCGATTCGCTTGCGTCTGTCGACTTTTCTTCTGAGATCTTGCAGGCAGGAAAGTATGACGGGAATCTTACAAGGCTTCTAGGATATAAAAGGGTTGCTAGGGCCCTTTTAAAGAATGATCCTACCCTCTCATCCATATCATTTGCGATTAAACCAACCGTACCCCGTATCTGGCAAGAGTTACACTACAAGTGGCCAACTGATCTTTACTCGAATTTGTCAAAATGTCAAGAAAAATACGTGTATCTGGATGACACAGAAAATATAAAAGAAATACTGCCTTTCATAAACGACAATAGAGACGGAATAGTATTCATGAAAGGAGCCGACGATAAGTTTCTATCGACGTATGTTGGTTTTCAGGTGGATGGCACGCACAAGAAGAATTTTATATACGATCAGCTCAAGAAGTGGGTAACCTCTGGAATTTATGGCTGGTGGAAGGAATGGTTTAAGAAAACCAAGCCGAAAAAACTATTTCCTCATTATGCAAATTGGACTAAACCAGTTGTGCATGAGCTGGAGAGGAGAGACTTTATGTCGAAGTTTACTTCAGTGTGTGAAATTTGGGCGATTTGTTGTGTTATTAGTGCGTTCGTATTTTTAACAGAGATTCGAAGAAAACTTTATTTCGTAATGAATAATTGGATAAAGCGGATTTCATTACGTCGCCTATCATAGCTTTGAAGGACAAATGCCCAGGTATATTTTTTATGTCCACTATGATCAATGTTTTTGAGTGAAAAGTGGACAATATTTTTGCGCGTGAACAATAGACACGTGGGCCGTATTCGTTTGGATTTACATTGAAATTGGAGGCTATGGAGCCGATGCCACATAAAAAAGATAGTCGTACAAAGTCAAATTGGGATTAATGCACCATTTGTCTTTTCGTAAACTTACTCCTCTCGCACCCAGTGGCCGCAGAGGCACGGGTATGTCTGGGGACATTAGCCTTACAGAATATGGGAGAGATTTGATTGTATAACATGTGCAGATGAAAGGGAGATCAAGTAATCGTGGGGACATTTGTCCCTTGGACCCCACCCTCCCACGGCCACCTCTGCAACCAATTTTGCACGCAGACTTTTAAATTTACATATATGGTACCCAAATTTCTATGAAGTGTGCTATAAATGCATGTCTATGCTTTTAGCAACAAGATAAACATCTTTAAGAAATCCTTCAACGTAATTTACTTTTATTCATGTGAACGTCACATTCATGTGTTCGTCGATTAGACCGGTTTAAAAGTTATAACATATTACAAGTATTCTCGTATCAGACTTTTACATGCAACGATATGTATATAAGTATGTGCATGCAGGATACAAAAAGACTTTTTAATGACACATCGACAATAAGGACAGAATAAATAAAAACAAACGTGAAATATACAAAAACATTAGGACAGCGTAACTATGTTGTTGGACATTTTAATTCCTTGAGGTTTGCCAGGGTCAAGACCTCAAACTCTATGACATACAAACCTGTCCTTCAGTTACCAAATTCTTGTGGGCATCAGCAAAATTGTATATGTAGGGTCACTATAGTTTACTTTTCTTCTCTGCCTTGTACCATCCCAGAAAAATTGTTGGAAAGTCAACAATATCCGCAAAATTTCTTTTTTATCCCACCAGTTAAAAAATCGTGACCGCTGACCTGTGCGTGACCTTAAGATATACATATTATGCCGCCATAAATATACCTTATACATGTGACTCTACGGCATTTATAATAAGACGAATTATAGTTTATGTAATAATGGCGTGGTAATAAAATATACCACTCATAAACAAACTACCACAAATCCGGCAGAAAGTTATTATTACAACGTAGATCAATACCAGAACGGTGCATTCATGTTACCCTGCCAGATTTTTAAGAGTTCATGCATGTAAATATTCAGGATTTCTCATGGTCAGTACCAAACCATCCCGTACTCACATCCATGTTGTACAACATCATTACCCGGGCATCAGAGTAAATTATCGGTACTCCTTACTCGCAACCCTATACATACATACATGCCAACATAAAGGGGACGTTCATGTGTTACGTCATCAAAAAGCCCAATCGTCTCTACCCTCCCATATCCTACTCTTGTCAAGCTTATCAAGAGCAAAACCTAAACCACTTACTCATCCGTATGATTATGTTATTTATGCACGGTTACATACAACAGTACCCGGGTATCCGAGTGAAAGCTCACCAACTCGCATCTCCATCTCCTCGCTCAAAAACTGGGTAAGATTGATACCTTTGAAAAATCAGATGCTTTCCCTGATTTCCAGAAATATTTGCAGTCTCAATTTTATAAACGAAAAATTACAATCAATTTTAGCAAAAATATTCACCTTGACGGGCGCGCGTTCATGTTGAAGAGAAGGGAATTTCACTCACTGGGAGAAAGTTTTACCAGATTGGTGGCAAATTTTTAAAGAGAAGTGTAATTTTAAAGCCAAGCGAAAATACCATTTTTAATATCGAGAAATTATTACATACACACGTATCTACACAAGGTTTCTAACAATGTTTACCCAAATTTGCGGGAATTCTGACTACCTAATTGTAATGACACTCTTAAAAATAATGTCACCCTTTTGAAAAGTGCACAGACACGTAAGTGCTGTCTGAATTATAAATTAATTGTGCTATATTTACTAACAATGGAACTTTTTTTTAATTACGGAGGGACTATGCAGCGAGTTATGTAAATGAAGAACTACCCAACAATTAGGAATAACGTGACATTTTCCGTTAAATGCCGTATTTGAAAAAAATAGTGGCCTTCATGCAAAGATACTCTCATTTTTCCTCCGTAATAGCGGACGCGTGAGCGAACTGTGCTCCAAAATATTTTTCTTCGAAGGGACCATTCAAGTTAGATGTTCCTAATTTTGGGTAGATTTTTTCATATGTACATAGTCGGAAACACTCAAGTGTCAATGATGCAATACGCTGTAAATATTGTAATTTTCCGTTTATCAGTTTCTGGTTACCTTCATTGGAAAGCCAATGAAATTCTAATCCAGAAACAATGCTCAATCATCAAAATTAATATCTTATGTGAAAATTGCCAATTAAAAAAGAGACAAACAAGCCCTGCCAAAAGTACGCACTAGTTTTCATGAAAAAAATGCTCGGGAATACGAGTAATCATTTTTTATAAACCTTTCTTATTTCGGGGGATTTAGACCATGCGATTATCTTTAATTTAAGCCCTTAGTCGTTACTGAAAGGGATGTGGTCTGTTTGTTGTGGCCATATCCATGCGGTGTGTGAAAGTCACAAAAATGAGGAAAAAACCGCTTTTTGACAACTTTTGCATCATATTTTGGAACAACTACCGATTTAAAGGTCCAACCATTATTTTTGAGTAGTATATATATCCTGGATTCTACACCATGCAAGAGGCCAACTTCCGCATCATGGTTGGCTTTGGTTGCTGATTTCTGTAGAAAAGGGGAATTTTTCCCCTTTTTGGACTAACTTCCTCCATGCAAATCCAAGGATGACATTTTTAAGGATTTTATTTTTTGATAGGAAACTTACATATATGGAGCGCATAGACAATTTGATTACGGGTTGTAATATACGTTCAAAGTAAGAAAGATCTCAAGTGGAAAACTGTCTTCAGGAGATAACAAATTTCGCGTACCTCACAAGAAAAATTTTGGGGTTTTTAATCTTTCTCAATTTTGAGAAGTAGTAAGCGTATGATGGTTACCGCATTTCGAAACCCTGACGACAAGGTTATTTATGCTCTGCATAATGATTTTTTATTTTGACCCTCTGGTCTCTGGGGTCACTTTTAACAAATATATCGTGCATTTGCCAGGTTCTGGCTTTGAAAGCTTTTGGGGCAATTTAAGATTTTTTAGGTGGGTGTGGTTTACGTTTTGTTGTAGCCCAAGGTTCTACTCACATTTTAAGTATACACATGGCTACGTCAGACTTGAGTTTGAGGTATTTTAAATATTTTTCAATTGAAGAATTTTTGCTCATTCTCGAAGTGAGGAAAAAATCGCCGACATCCTCATTTCAAAGTTTTCTATTGGGGTCATTTTTTCGAATAATTTAAAATGGAAAAGTGATTCGGAATCGAAATCGCATTGGCTTTCCAATGTGCGTATCCATTTTTAATTCTAATGAGTACTTTTCGTGAAATCAGCCGTTGACACTTGAGTGTTTCTGACTATGTACATAACTTGCTGCATAATCTCGGTGTGTTTAAAAAAAAGAATATTCCATTGTGAATAAATCCTGCTTAAACTTTACTCTTTCTCAATTAAGCATTACTCGGGATTTAATATACATATTCATTTAATACAGAGTTCAGAGTTCATTGACACTTCATTAGGGCGATGTTTAAGAGTGCTCCGGTTTATTATTGTGGAGTCTATTCAAAAATATAAAAGGTTAGCAAGCTTTCTCCTGTTCAACCCTTCTGCATCAACTAAACAATAATAACGGTCAGCTTCCATTCCACACCGAGAACGGCCTGTCTTTAAGTATTAAAAAATATTAAACAACCGGAGCCATGTCGAGAAAGTCTGAAATTCACAAAGGCGAAAATGAAAATCAAAACTCACAAAAGGAAAGCTGTTTGGATCCCCACACTTACGCCCTGATTGCAGTTGCAGCTATTCCCGCCACCCTTCTTATTATCTTAATGGGCGTCAGTTGCGTCCTGATGAGTCTCGACACAGAACGAGAAAATGCAGTACCAGAAATTTATTCCTACAACCATGCCGACACGTGGAGGACGAAATACTGGACGAAATATGACGCCAATTCGCCACCCGAGAAGAAAAATAATAATTCGACCCGCATCAATATTTCGTTAACCCGGGTAACTCCAGCCTTCGGAGGGTGCGACTTTACCCTGAACTTTCTCCTCGTACAGGAATGGAAGGATGAAGGACTTGTCGTTAAGGATGATGCGAAAGGTATTTATTTCTGTGATAAATATATTTTTTGTTCGAAATATCCCCACAGCTTCCGGACAGGTCCATACTTTACTGCATTTTTAGAAGTGCTATAATCTTGCGTCGTTAATTAAATCAAACCAGCATAAATATGCGCACAGCTGAGAATAATTACACTCTTGATAATAATGTTATCTTATTTATTTACTTAATTCCCAGGTATCTAAGACTTTAAGACTACTTTTCCTTATCAATAGTATAACATTATTTTTAACTTCGTCGATTTTGCTTTGAAGTGATGTTAAATAATTTCAATGCACTCTAAATAAACAAGAGTTGTGTTAAATTGATAAAAGTTGGAAAAAGAGGATGATAACAATGGGTAATGATTAGGATGGTAAAATTGCAATTCAAGTGCCGTGGAGAATTTATATCGAAGATTATGTAAGTAATTTTTTTCTCAAAATTTTCGTGCCCTCTTTTTTACTCCTCCTTAAGTAAATTTAACACCTTTTATTTAGAGTTCACATTCTTGAGTAAACAATAATTAAGTACATATTTCAATTTATTCGCACACTTCTAGGTAGCTCTGTCATGAATATCAATTCAATCTTGGGAGATAACGGAGAGATGGGAATCTCAATTTGGAAACCATCCCTCACCACGGATCCAATCGGACGGGGGGCCAGTTTAGGAAGGGATGAAACCTGGCTTTGGAAAAACGGAAAGGTATGTATGTAGCTCATCTCTAAAAAATATTTCGCATTATGTACTTAATACGATACGTGCTAAAACATGTTTTTTTACAAACCCTGATAAGCCATTTAAAAATTTAGGAGTGGGAAAACTAAAATTCACATATTTTATGGCCCAATTCTTCTTAGGTCGAAATACATATTTAGTTTTCGGAGATATAAATGTATAAATCTATACATGATATTATCTTGTCCACAATTTACGCTATTGTTACGGTATTAAAAAGTAGAGGCTCTCTGAATTCAATACAAAGTAAAGTAAATATGTGTGTATGCATGTATTCTAAATTCAGAGAAAAGTTGTACATACATAGATAAATAACAGTTTAAGAATACCTTTTAATTTATTTACTTGCATACATTTATGCAATGCGATAGTGTAAAGTGCAACTGTCTGATTTGGTTGAAATTTTAAAATCACATTTGTCGTCCAAATCAATACAACCAGCGTTTCAGCGTTTCGTTCCGTTGGAGGCAGTTTCTGGGATGGTGTGGATTTGTCAAAATATTTGGGATCAGAGTTGAAAACTAGAGAATTTTTCCCTTCGAAGGGAACTGGAGTGAGGTTTGCTTCCTCCACCAGGTAAGAATCGACCCTTTTTCAACTTTGACCTTAAATATTTTGACAAATTCCAACCATCGCATAAACTACCTCCAGAAACGTTGTTTATATTGACTTGGACAACATGATTTTAAAATTTTAACCAAATTCGTGGATTGCACTTTACACCATCGCATTGTTAGGTTGCTAGTTGACTTAAGTCACGTATGTATGTTTACGCAATTAGCAATTCTAAAATAAGAATAGAGTTTGCGTAATAAAAAAGAAAGTTTACTTAGGCTTTCGTATACGTAGTTTACATACTTTATATGGAATTCGGAGCGCATAAGGTTACCATTATTTATAAGAGGGTACAATTAATAATGATTTAAATACCTTTAACTCACAAAGTTACAAGATTACAAATTTGTACATATCTATGTAGGTGTGCAGAACCCAACAAGTCCTCCTAATCCTACCCGCAAATCACTCCCCCAACGGAAACCATACCGACAAAAAAGAATACTCGTTCGAAATTTACGTTCAGGATTATTTCCATGACGTCGTCTCTCTCGAGGAAAGTGAAAATCCCGTCAATTTCAAAGTCGACGACGACAATTGTCACAAATACGCTATTTCATACACCACGCCGCCAGCCCCCAAAATGGTCATTATCCAGGACAATGACTACTTGTACACCGTCGCCTATGCGGTGGAGCGATGTGACTTTAAGGATCAGTTAGGCGATAGGGACTTTGTCGAAATAAAGAGCTGTTTAAGTTTCACCTTAAAGTTGGAGAGGATTTAATTTACATGACATCAAACGATTTATTTGTAAATATGTAAATATTATTAGCCGTACAAACAACTTTATGTAACCCTTTGAAGAGTACTTAAATGCAGTTTCCACTCTAAATTATGTCAACTGCATCAAATCCGTGTACAAAATGAGTGTTCAAAGCGAGTGTATACATAAAGCGAGTACAAAAAAATACCCATAAAATAATTAAATAGGTATGTACTTATTAACAATATTGTTTGTAGGAATTTAATGACATATTTATTAGAAAGTGTCTTTATTCTGTAATATTCATATTTATTTACAGGAAATAAATTACTGCTCTATTCATTCATCAGGTATTCATGTGTTAAAAACTTTTGCGAGCGAAAATTAGCTAAAATTTTACATTCTTAAAGTTGCACTACATAATCATTCATAATACCAATATATGATTTTTTTCCGCCATTGCAGAATTCCCTGAGTTTAGACCCCTGTGCTGCTTACGTTACGTTTTTATCAAAAGGAACTTATCCGGTGATAGAGTTTGCAGCAAAATAAATACCCAGGTTATAAGTAAATGTGCGTCTGGAAACTAATTTATCCCAAGATTAATGGAAGCTGGATTAGCGAAAGCCCAATTTATAAATTGCACAACTTGCACCATTTAAGCCCGGTGACATGACCACCATGCATTTTTTAGCTTCCCAGGTATTTATGATCAAACCTATAATTTTTTGTCGCATGCATTTGTGAATTTGATGTAATTTCAAAGCTCATTATGCATAAATAAGTATGTATATTTATTTATGTATCTGCAACAATTTAATTCGTCCAGTTATGAAATATACATGCATGCATAAATTATAAGGAAAGAAGAAAAGTGTAGATTTTATCAGTTTTTTAATAATGCTTGTTCATCTACAGCATTGCTGCGCTAGTGTCTGCCTGATTCATACCTAACCAGTTAGCACTTATACATATCCATGTATGCATTCGTATGTTTGTACCCGGGTATTTGACTGAATTCTCCGGGTTAGTGGTTGATGGTCGACAAACGAGTTGTCGACACCTCATTGGTCGACAAACAACATATCGCCAAAACAACTAGTCGCCAATCTCATCTTGTCGACAGAAGACTGGTCGGCACAGTAGATCGGTCGACATGGCATATTGGTTGCCAATCTCAACTGGTCGACAATAAACTAGTCGACGCCAATTAAAAGTTTGAAGAAATACTTGCAAGGGAAGTTGTATATGCAAACACTTGATTTTCGCAATAATTATCCAGTAAAAAATATTACACGTTTTAATCCAAACGAATTAGCTTTACAAGCAGACTTAGCAAGCAGGTATCGTTTTCCACGACGAGAGGTAATTAAACGTGAGGAGAATGATTGGTCGAATGATGAGGATGGCTTAGATGGCGCCCGAGCAGAATAAGGCAACAAAATAATTTGTGTTAAAGCTTCCTGAAATTCAGGCTCGTCACCTCGTTTTGTGCCACGTGCAGATTTTCGCTGGCATTTGCAATTCGTCCCAATCATGTTATAGCCTACTCCAGTTAAAAAAAATCAGAAAATTCCATCCTTACCATTATCACAGAGTTTATCAAAAACGTGACGATGGCTTTCTGCTGACTTGTCGGGGGAAAGGCGTAGGCCAGAGGAATTACGTCTTCATCAGGTGTAATCCTGGGTATCGTCATCAGTTGCCCGTAATGTTTAAGGTTCCATCCACTGCCCAAATATTCCATGAGGATAGTTCCTTATTTTATGGGTTAATTATGTCGTAATTTATTTCCCACGTCAATTGGATACATCAATTTCACCTTGTTGACCACTTTTAAAGGGGGCAACTGCTCATTCAAAGCTTCTTCCTTTAGTCTTGCGTGAGGCTATTCAAGCTTAATTCTGTACGCTATGTACATATTAATTCCCTGTAAACTAATATTCAATGTCGACCAATACGTACATATTTTGTCGACCAATTAAAATTGGCGACCAATATGCCATGTCGACCGATCTACTGTGCCGATCAGTCTTCTGTCGACAAGATGGGATTGGCGACTAGTTGGTTTGGCGACATGTTGTTTGTCGACCAATGAGGTGTCGACAACTCGTTTGTCGACGATCAATCCGGAACCCGAATTCTCCGTGTTGCTGACTCACCAGCCTACACGTGTATACTCGCATTTCTATAGGATTGCTCAAAAACTGGGTGAAATATTGATTACTTTGTAAGTAAATAACTCGGAGAAACCAGATGTTCTCCCCGATTCCTGGAAACATTTCCGCTTTCATCTTCATTCCCGACTCAATTTTAATCAACAAAAATAGAGAAAATTTTAATTTTCGTGATGATTTACACCGCTACGGGTGGATATCCTAGTTTAACTTATCATGTCACATCCGGTAGATGGGGATATACAAGAATTTCTCTCACTGGGGATCGAAGAGGAAACGAAATTTGTGGCAAATTAAAGATAACCCGGCCAATCCGGGATCAAATCCCGGAAAGTGACGAGTGGGATCATTATGGTAAATAATAAATAAGTACACTCTAAGAAATTCAGTATTACAATAATACCGAGCCGTTCTCATTATTGACTCTGCAAATCAGCTATGTATTGATAAGTGATATGGCGTAGTAAAACATAGTTCCGGATTAAAGTTTTACCGTATCTACGTATGTACACTAGACTTTTATGGATCGGTATAATTTTAATACCAAATAGTAGAAAGTTTGCATATCGTCGGACTAATTCTAAAACCACGTAAGTGCAGTCTCATCTTAATTCTAAAACCACGTAAGTGCACTCGCTTCGTAATTCTAAAACCACCTAAGTGCAGTCAAAATTTAATTCTAAAACCACGTAAGTGCATAACAGAGACCAGGAAAATAACCTGACTACAATTCCAAAATAGTTAATTTTCATAAGTTTATAGTGTGATCTTGTAAAAGTAATGAACTGCATACTATTTTGGAATTGCAGTCAGGTTATTTTCAATGTTTTTGTTATGCACTTACGTGGTTTTAGAATTAAACATTGACTGCACTTAGGTGGTTTTAGAATTACGAAGCGAGTGCACTTACGTGGTTTTAGAATTAAGATGAGACCGCAGTTAGGTGGTTTTAGAATTAGTCCGACGATATGTAATACCGAGAAATCATTAAACAAGATTTCTCTAACAGTGCACATAAATATTTACAGGATTTCTGATCATGTCTGATTCATAAATCCTCGGGCATCTCGCATTTTCATCCATGTATGTGCATACGTACAATATTGCTACCCGGGTATCAGAGTGTATTCCCAGAACTGGTGACCCACATCAGCTAATACATAAGTATGTACATACATACATTAGTCTAACATGGAATTGCTCAGAAACTTGGTCAGACATACATAGGTTCATTGATTACTACGTAACTCGGAGAATCCAGATGTTCTACTTCATTCCCGAAAAATATTTCCATTTTTGGAATACAAATTTTGAAAATACGATTAATTTTCACGATAATGTTCGCCGTTACGGCGAGAGGTTCTGGTGGGTCATGTTCAAGTTCGACATTTCGTAGGAAAAGGGAATTTATACCAATTGTTCTAACTGGGGAGCGAAGAGGGAATGAAATTGTTGGAAAATTAAAGATCAATCGGCCACCCGGGGAGGATGCAATTTCGGATAGTGACCAGTGGCAGCATTACGGTAAATAAGTGCCCTGTTAGAAATCTTGTATTAAAATGATACCAAGGGGTGGTCATAGATATGTACATAACTTTACCGAGGTGGTATTGATAGTACTTAACCAGGGTTCGGAAAAACCCAGGGTTTTAATCAAAAATTATAAAACCCATGGGTTTTAATGGGTTTTACCATGTTAATTGGGTTTTATTTGGGTTTTAATGGGTTTTAATGGGTTTTATTTGGTTTAAATGGGGTTTAATGGGTTTTATTAGTTTTAAGTAATAACTTATCAAAAATAATTCGGAATTTGTATCTATTCGGAAATTATTTTTGTTTAATAACACTTGAAATCTGTGATGCTAAAGGATGGAGTCAATTATTGATTTGTTCCGAATTTTCATACATTAGAATAGTAATGAAGTAAACTGCTTTAGAATGAATTGAGATAACGTCTTCTAACGTATAGGAGATGTATTTAACTTTTAAAATGTAGTTTTAAGGTAAAACTCAATTAAAACCCAATAAAACCCATTAAAACCCAAATAAAACCCACTTAACATGGTAAAACCCAGTGGGTTCTATTCATTTACAACCCATTAAAACCCATTAAAACCCAATAAAACCCAACCCATTAAAACCCAGGTCGGAATACCCTGCTTAACACGGTGTATGTACAGAGTGGTTACAACGGAAAATTTTCCAATGAGAAACATTCGGAAATTTCCATTAGTTACGGATTTAGGATCGAGATTTTTATCAATTTTAATCAAAATTTATGGAAAACTGATGACAAAATTCTCAAAATAATGAATTTCAGAGGTAAAATATCCGTAACTAATGGAAATTTACTAATTTTTCCTATTGAAAAATTCTCCATTGCAACCTGACATTTTAACCACCCTGAATTACATAATAGCTTGGCATGAAAGTTTAACCAAAGCATATTTTTACCGTCCCGTATCATTTTAGTACCAAGCGGTTGCAATTTTAATAACGAGGCATCGAAATGTTGCTGTGTCTGCGATATGTGACAATGTGTACCTAATTTATTTATTGCTAGTTATGTAGCCCTACAGGCACTCTTAAAAATAATGTAACCCTTTTAAAAAGTAAATTCACTCTCAATTCTAAATTGAATAAACCGTCCTAAATCCAGAGTAAACTTTACTCTTGATCAAGTTGACGTTACTCTGGGTTTAGTTAGTTAAATAATTCAGACTGCATTTATTTTCAAAAGTCTATAAATATTTTTTATTTTATGTATTGTATTTATTTACAGCACTCGTAATAGAGTTCCATGGACAAACCACAACCATGGACTCGTCTGGAAGAAAGTGTCAAATCCCTTTGGCGCAACTTGCACCGGAAGAAAATTCAGAATTTATTTGCCACTCAAGATTGTTTGCATTACTCTCTGGAGCAGAAAGCGGTAAAATTTGGTTACAATGTGCAAAAAGAATATGTACACGCTTAGAAAAGGGGTTACTATCATAACCAAGAAGTAAATGTATGTGACTCTACCGCGTGGTTATAAATTTGTCATCGATTGGTTACAATTGTCACCGACTAATTATAAAGTTTGACTAACTTGGTATTAAATTGTCACGAGAGCTAATAAATTTATAACCAGTTGGCGACAAATTCCTAATCATGGCGGTAGAGTCACATACGCTTATTTTTTGGTTATAATCGTAACCCCATTTCTAAGAGTGTACTCATTATTATCCACCAGTTTCTCAGAATGGAACTGCACCATCGTATGCTCCCAGATTTCTTAAAATTAAAATTTCTTAAAATCCATCACAAATTTAATTAATATGAGATTTGAATATGAAATTTGCTGAATTTTGGGCTCCTTAAAATGAAAATAGCTTTGCCAAACGTACACATGTACGCATTAAAAGATTATGTTTTGCAAATTCCACATTAATTAAATTTGTAATCTAATTACATACATACTTACACTAACAATGGAGGTCTCCCAACGTATGCTCACAGATTTGGACCAAACTAGCGTCAATGGATCACAAATATAGTTAGTATGAAATTTGCACATGGAACTATCTGCCAATGCTCAACTTTAGCGGAGATATTTGCATCCAAACCGGGAAAGCGAAAAATCTGTCAGCCTTGAGGATGCATTCTCTCTTATTTTTATGCAAATATCTCCGATAAACTTGAACATTTGCAGATTGTGTTATTTGCAAATTTCATATTAATTATATTTGTGATCCATTGACGCTAGTTTGGCCCAAATCTGTAAGCATAAGTTGGAAGACATCCATTATTAGTTTCCCCAAAATCAGAGAGCATAATTATCCATCCATTACCAATCTGATTATTATTTTTACATAATTATTCAAATTGTGCGCACAGGTCTAAAGAAAGGTGAAGGTCCGTTCGTTCCCACAAAGTTACGAAATCCACCCTCATTCCCGTTCAAAATTCGGCTCCCCGAAAATCACGAACTTCAACTCCCCGCCACCATTCTATATCACGTCGATTTCTTTCTCGTACTTTATCTCCGGACGGAACAACACGGATATAAAATAATTACTGCAAGAAGTCTACCACGATTTCGAGGACATAATTTGATATCTTTTCAAAACACGTGGGAATCCCTCAGATGGACAAAAACGACCAAAAATGTCACAATTGAGGTCACCTCACCCCACAAATTTTACACATTTTGGCCCAAACGACCCATCCTTGTCAAGTTGACGGTCACATTTACCCAAGAAAATTGCAGTGGTACAGAAATCCCGGTGCTGTTTGAGGTCTCTGTCGTACAAAGGATTTTTTCCCGACGGATCAAAGTCCGGGAGACAGTGATCGACGCAAAATCGGAGGAAAACCCGGTAAACAGTTTAAAACTGACGTACCGTGCGCACTTGAATGAGCCAAAGTACAGGATTGGGGACGACGATAAAATGCTGGTTGCATCATTTAACCAAAATCCTGGGGAGGAGGAGGGATTGAAAATTCGGCACTATTTGAAGGTAATAATCAATTAGGGGGTCGTTCGTATACACACCTGTAATTCAGCTACACGTTTAGAAATCTGATATAATCAGTCATATATTGATTGATACGCTTGATATTAAAATTATATGTACAGATCCCTAAAAATTTGCTGCCGATACGGTAAAACTTTAATACCGAGTCTTTACATCATGGGATTTCTTACAGTATGTATATTATAGTTGGTTTGATAGATTCATACATACACCCTTATAAATAGGGTTACGATTATAACCAAAAGTAGACGTATGTAACTCTACCGCCGTGGTTATGAATTTGTCACCCAGTGGTTACAATTGTCACCGACTAATTATGAAGTTTCACCGACTTGGTATTAAATTGTCACCAGAGCTAATAAATTTATAACCAGTTGGTGACAAATTCATAACTACGGTGGTAGAGTTACATACGGTTACTTTTTGGTTATTATGGTAACCCCATTTCTAAGAGTGTACATATGCGTATGAGTACACTTGATATTACTGAAGTACTGGATTTCTATGAATATATCTCCATATTTTGAAATTCATATCCTTAACGTGAATCTACTGGGTCATGTGTGTAGTAAAAAAAGTTAAATTTTCTTAACGCATTTTATAAACGTCCCTCAGACTAAACTTATTTAAAGAATCTTTTAATATTGACAGTTCAACGTTGTCTTCCCCTTGGATTCTTCTTACCCAAGAAATTTAGGAGGAGAAGAGGAAATATTCTGCGCGACAGGGACCCTTGACATTGAGCACGATACCAGTAGAACCGGTACCCAGGGGGACCAGAGACCAGGCCTTTTTGCCAGGATGAGGTCACAATCCGTGTCATCTCTCTTTCCACCGTCGTACTCTCGGGTCCCGTCTCGTCGGGGGTCCCTCATCTCGATGGAAACATGTCAGTTAATTAAATGTTTTTAAGGAACCTTCATAAAATAAGAGGGGTACACTCTAAATAATTTGGAGACAAATTGTCACCCGCGGAGGTACTGTGTACATACATGCATATATAGTTCCCAATTTTTAGACTATGTTTACGGAAATGATTTGTCACCCAAGGAAAAGTCTTGTAACAAAAGGTCCTGGGTTACAAAAAATTAGCATATTTATCTGACAATAAGATTTTTCGGGCACGACAGAATTTAGTTAGTGCCGACGTAAGGTGTGTTTGGTACACGAGTTTTTCACTTATATATTTCTTTTGGGTGAGAAAACGTCTACTTAATCATTACCCAAAAATGGAGCACTATTAATTGTTGTTCTTTCGGGGGTGACGATTGGTCTCCAAATTATTTTAGAGTGTATATATAGCTTCCGTTTAAAATGTTGGACTGCCTCCCTCCCCCCTTAGGGATAAAAATTCGGATTATCTATATTTCTTTATCTATGCACGTTCCCCTAAGCAAAGTTTGACAAGCAAATTTATCTAGGACTTTAAATATGTAAATATTCCTTTGGTTTCAGTGCCTCCGCATTACGACGATATACTTGAGCTAGAAGAAAAGCTGAAAACTCTGAATGACCGAAATTTATCTTAAATTTGTGCTTAAATTTGTGTATGTATCTTAAAAAAGTAAATGTTTCGTATTTCTATATGGGTAGATTCAGTGTGCATAAACTTTTTTATGGTCCGTGGTTTCTCCTAAAGGGGTGATGCCAGGATGAAAATTTGTATTCAAAAATTAAAAGTTGGGCAATTGGATACAATTTTGCTGCGGATTTGAGTGGTTGTCATGGCAAAAGTGCATGCAATTCCCCAACCTTTAATTTTTGAATACAAATTTTCATCATGGCATCACTCCCATAGGAGAAACTACGGACAACACAAAAGTCTGAGGTAGGGTGTACACATTATTTGCAGTTTTTTTATTTCTGTGCCAAACAAAATATTTTAGTTCCGCATAAATATCTCCCTGACTTTGGCCAACGTGTAATTGAATCCGAATAAATACTCATTGAATTCAAATGTATTTCTTTACGAGAATAACAATTAGTCTCCTACCATACTTACATATGTTCTCCGATTTTGATCAAACTAAAGTGTGAATCGATTACAAGGTTAATTAGTTTGAAATAAATATGCGAATGACCTTGCCTCCCAGTGGTTACGTTCGCCAAGGATATTTGCATCCGAGGAAGATAAATTAGCCAGTAAATGTAGAAAATGCAAAATTGATTAACTTTGGCTAGCTTGAACCAACCAGGGCTGCCAAATCCGGATACTTCGAATTCAAAAAATTTGGATTTTTTGGATTTCGCATATTTCGAATATTACATGCTAACTGTATCCGGAAGTATCCGGGTATCTACTCATAGAGCAAAAATAAGCTTAAACAAATCATGAATTTGTTGCTGATTTACATGATTTTAACTAGTCTCATTTAAAAACCTTTATTATACCATTTAAACTTCGGGCCACGCTTTACTAATTTTATAAACACAGCTACATACCTATGACCATCGAGTAAACGCCGTTAAGGGGCCGTGCATAAATTACGTGACGCAAAAATCGCGATTTTCTAGACCTAACTCTACAAAAGGGTAACACATGAATATAGACTTGTATCATTGGAGCCTTAGACCCTTCTTCCCACATCTTCCGTGACAATTTACTTATTGATAGTCCCTAAATAATTACATATTTATTATGTATCCAATGTTGTAGGATAGTCCTTAGCCTGATGGACCGAATAGATACTTATGTATGTACATACTTATCATTCATTAATTGTATCGAACAATAATTTCTATAGAATTCTAACTCGCCAGAAGAAGACCTGAAACCGTTTGTCTCACACAAAATTCTTGCACTACCAGCGGAGTCAAAGTTTCCACAAAATTATTACCAAACTCCAGTCTCAACGGCATTAACGACTATTGCAACCTATTCTCAATTTTATTGCCACACCTCCCCTTACATTTCGCGATCCATTTCACGCTCAAATCATTTATGCGCGCAGGCGCTGAGAACAGCAATATCGAGAAGACCAATACCAAAATGTAAGTCCAGAGAAACAGGTATGCCTCGAAGTGAGATGCCTGCCCGGAATGTAACAATTGCATGGCTGTGCCGCATACTAAAATTTGAAAACCAGGCACTACAAGTACTGTGGTGAGAAAGATGCGCGATTTTATGCAAGAATTTAGCAGTTTCTCGAAAATTTTCAATTTACGATAAGCTCCCATCCATTCCAAGAATTTAACGTTTGACTTAAATTGCTCATCTTGAAAGCGATATAAATGCCACCCCTTCTAACAAAACGGTTCCTATGTAATAAGCCATTGCAGTAACTAGTTGTTGAAATGCTATAAATTCCACGGTAGCTAAGGATAATTGGTTTATGAATACAGTAGTTTGAGATTTTCGGTTAAAAACGTCTCCTTCTGAGCAGATCAGTGAAGTGAGTAGGGTGGGCTGGCAAGGACTCAGGAATGAGAGGGCTGATACGGTTGCTGAAATTATTAAGCTTGTAATTTCCACGCACCAGCGTAAGAATCGGATGCACAATTGGAGTTTTGAGGGTTTAGTGAGGCCTGAAATGAATCAGTATTTGGTAAGTATGTAAGGTAGTCGCCATATAGATAAAAAATTGCGAAATACTGACGATATCCTGTTTTTAGGCCTTTTAAGATGGCCTTATAGATTTACTAAGATGTCTGTCTGTCCGTCCGTCTGTGCGCACGATAGCTCTCTTTAAACACAAGCTATCGACTTGAAATTTTGCACACTTCATCTTCGGGTCAAAAGTAAGGATGAGTTCGGAGATGGGCATGATCGGCCAAGTAGTTGGCCAGTGGGGGTCTTTTCCACCCAAATGTGTTGCCATTAACTACCAAGATGGTATTAATGCCATCTTAAAAGGCCCCGCAAAGTTGCATGGAGTAGGTTTTCTTCGTATCCTTAGTATCGTAAAATGCTTTGTGAGATAAAAAAAACGAAGGTCGGTACAAAGGATAAGCATATGTAGTAACTTGACTTTATAAGAAAAAATCTCTTAGCCGTGGGAACTCATTTTTCCACACCAAGATATAAAGAAAACTCTAAACGTGTTGCAAAAAAACTAGCAAGAATTTAAATGTATCGAGTAAAAATATGTAGATATGTACGACCATACCAAATTCATTGTTGGGATGACGATTCAGAAAATTGGCAAGCTGTACAGTAATTTGGTCGACTGGAAGGTCACACCTTATTAGAAATCCGGCCGAGTAAAGCATCGCCCCCGTGGCAGCCTCTGCCTGATCAATTAAACTGGATGAGTAGACAAAGGTTGCGAAAAGGCGACAAAGCGATATTAAAAAGTTTACAAACAAGGTCAAAATGACGATTTTTTGTGACTGTGTTCCTATTACGACTACCTTTTCCTGTTTGGCATCTCATTGTATGGGTAAACATCGGTAGTAACAGGCACGCTTAAGGTTACGTTTGATGAGATAGATATCTTTGGGAAACATTTTGAAATAAGATGCTTCTGAAGGCAGGAATATATCAGGAATGTAGATTCGTGAGCTAATAAATATCTGCTGGCTGCTGAAAATGATGATTGAAGGCGGATGAAAATATCGGTAGTGGGATACGTGTACTTAAATAACTTAAACTCTGTCGTGTCTCTGTTAATAAATAATTTAAGACTCGTGTTTGCCCACCATTATTGGGAAAATACTAGCGATTAAGTCCGTCTGAAACTGAGGTGATGACTGATTTAACTTTATGTTAAACATAAATTAAAACAAGGGGTTTACATATTAAAGTAAGTGTTCCTATTTAGCTACATACCTGGATGGGACTGAAATTTATTTGTCTCATATTTCAAGTAACGGTTTGTAGTTCTCCATGTCTTTGGAAAATATAAGTGTAGAAGTGAAAACGCGGAAGTACACGTGTGCAGAAAACCGGTCACCGTTTAATTATTGATGTATTGATATTCTAGACTATAAACGAGCCGTTGGATTAAATCCTTGTTTACATTCCAGGTCCGGATGTGGGATGGTTTCAATGTTGTTAGAAAATATTTTTATTTGTGTTCGAATGTTGGAGTTAAAATTCCATAAATATCTCCTTTGTATATGCCAACATAAAGCAGAGCAAATCAGTGAACATTGTCCTGGTGGAATTATCTAGAAATGGGTGGAAGTAGGATTTATTTATTTACACTACCCTTCCCAGCTAATTCTAATCAGGGTAAGGAAACCCTGTGGGTTTTGGTATTGGAAACCTATACCCAGGGGTTTTACCAGGGTTTTGCGTATAGTCAGGGTAGTCGGGGTTATGTGGATGAACTGGGTAAGTGGGACATGTGTTATTAGTGAAAACAATCTGCTTGCTCAGCAATTTCGAATCAAACTTGGTTATTAATTCCATTTTATTAACTTACTAAACTGTAGAATTGTTAGTCCTGCCTAAGCCGTATTATCATGCTTTATAAAATTTGAAAGGCTAATGCTGTTTTTCAGTGTGCAATTCGACAATATTGACTTACCATTTATAACTAAAATCTTTTCAGCCGAACAGGGGTAATTTGAATCAAACATGAGTATGATTTCAGTATAAAAGCGGTGACATGGGATAAAAAGGTGATGTTGACGAGGTTTTCTTTGCGAGGTCAGGATTGTGAGTAACTAAATGTTTATTATTCGATAATGGTCTCATTGATATTTCTTTAGACAAGGAATTTTAATAATTTGTATGCATTGCTCAACACTGACGACTATTTGCGTCGTAAATATTTAGGTTCTCGACCCTCCCACGCTTTCTGGTAGTTGATCCTTCGCAATGTGAGAGAATAAGATGGGGCCCCACTGCTCCTTGTTGGTGCCGAGAATCTGTAACGCCTTATACGTCTCGGGAGATAGAATTGGCTGAACAAGGGTGAGGATCACGGAAAAGATTGAAGGGGCTGAAAAAATGTAAATTTACTTATTCCAACATGTCCACATTTATAATTTATTTATGTACACTCTTAAAAATAATGGTACCCTTTGGAAAATTAAAAACATATTAAGCGATCAAAATTTCCCGAAAACCGATCACGTGCTTTGTGCATGGCCTATCATCTATCCTAAACCTGGAGCAAACCTTGCTCTCAAGTCCACATTACTCTGGATTTAGTATAGTTTTCTTAATTTAGAGCGTATTTACTTTTCAAAAGGTTAACATTATTTTTAAGAGTGTAATTTGACAACATTGACTAACCATTTATCACGAAAATCTTTTCAGTCGAGCCGGGATAATGTGACTCAAACATGAGCATGATTCCCGTATAAAAGCGAAGACATGGGATGCAGAGGTGCTGTTGACGAGAGAGCTTGTCCAAATTGCTGATAAAATTCCACTGGGTTCCATTCGACTTTCCGGATTTATTATACTCAATAGATTTCACATGAACCTCGTCAAATCCTTTAATGAAATGGCGGATGGCGAGGTCTAGCTTGCCTTGCAAAGCGGCCCTTCGGAGATCCCAGTCCCCGATGGAAAAGACGAAAACTTGGAAAAGATTTTTGGAAAAATTTGTTTTTAAAATATTCTTGGGTTTCTTGATGATAGGAAATATATATAGTTTCTGGTTAAAATTTCCGATTAAGGTTTCCTAGGGTATGCCCTAAGAATTTGGGCAAATTAGTGTCAATCGAGCGCCAATTTACATAATTCTTACGAAATTAAAAACAGGCAAGATTACCCAATGGTATTGTTTGGCGGATATAAATGTTTGTATCCTTTGAGCAGAAAAGCGACCTTAAGGTGACAGTTTCCAAAATATGCTACGATTTTTTCCTTTTTAAATGCAAATATCTTTGCCGAACATGACCATTGGAAGATAGTGTCTTTTGCAAATTTCATACCAGTTATGTATTTAAAAATCGTTGATCGATTGAGACTAATTTTGGGCAAAGTTTGTCACCACAACTTTGGAAACCTCCATTTTAAGTGAGAAATAGAGCGTCCATATATTACGTCATGATTTTAAAGGGTGGGTGGTTTAGATCTTCCTATCTTTCCCATGTTAAAATTTCCTACCCCTAAATGTTTACGTGGGGTAGGTGGGTGATATAATCGAGAATTTTTGATGACGTAATATATGTATGGATGGCCCCAAACGCTGAAAATTTCTGTACCTGGTTGTCCATTTCTATCGACTCCATCTGTATTAATGGGATACTCTTTCGCAACACTTGACCAGTCTTCAGTATGGATTTCATCCATGTTATTGTCCTTCCACCACTTCACCGTCTATTGGGAAGCAAGTTTTATATTCTTACTAAACTCCATTTCACGTTACATGAGTTCACCACGTGGAGTAGATTAGCCGAATTATTTTATTATTTGATACCACTTATCCTTATTTTGGGGTTTAAATTATCCAATTTCGTATGATTTTTACGCCAAAATAAAAATAACTCGTCTCAAATAATAAAATAAACCGTCGCAAACGCGCATACGGAAGTAGCTTCAGACGTACTTCACCCCAAACGGTCCCACCACAACTCGGGAACACTTAATTTCACTCTATTTCACCTATAGATTAATTTTTTGTAAAAATCTCATTTTGTCCCGACCACACCCCCTGGCGACGAGGGGGTGTGGAACAACTCGGGAACACTTAATTTCACTCTATTTCATCTATAGATTAATTTTTTATAAAAATCTCAAAAAATTTACGCAACCAATCTGAACTCATTGTGGAATCAGGCATCTCTCTAGAATGCTGTTTGCAAGATCTTGAAATATCCGAAGAAAAGAAAGACTCTGTACGAAGCGGACTCTCAAGAATATTGTCTTCATACAAAAATCGACCCGACAACAATATTAAATCATACCAATGGATCCCTCCAAAAATTAGATCAATTAAACAAGACAAGAATATCATTATTTGTCCTGCAGACAAGGGGAATGCAACAGTTATAATGAACAAAGATGATTACAACAACAAAATCATGGATACGCTGACTGATCCATCGTATGAAATGATTCGAGAAAATCCAACCACAAGACTAGAAAAAGAAATTCAAATCAAATTGAAGTCCCTGTACAAAACCAAAAGAATATCCAAAAGCGTTTACAATTCCATTTTCCCAAGAAATTCAAAAGCCCCAATATTCTATGGACTACCCAAAATTCACAAAACTGGCACTCCACTACGACCTATATGCGACTTCCGGAACTCCCCTTCTTACAAGATTGCTTCCCATCTTAGCAAAATCTTAAAATCTTTCAAATCAATTTTCCCAGCAAATCAGAAACCACAAACTCCAACCCCATCAAAAAATGGTCTCATTTGATGTAGCTTCCCTCTTTACCAAAGTACCCATTCCGGAAACTATAACATACATTGAAAAACTACTACGAGAAACATCAAATTGGAAATCTTATACAAGTTTGACAGCAAAGGACATCTTAGACTTACTACAACTTTGTATCAAATCCAATTATTTTCAATATAAAGACATGTTTTTCCAACAAACCAGCGGTACACCAATGGGCTCTCCAATCAGTCCCGTTTTCGCCGAACTATACATGCAGTACTTTGAATCTCAAGTTGTACAAGACCACCCAAAAATTGACCTTTACCGACGTTTCGTGGATGATTCTTTCTGCATTATGAACTATGACGCAACACTAGATTTACAAAAAGAATTCAATCAATTCAACAAACATATCCAATTTACTTATGAAGAAGAAGAAAATGGACAAATATCTTTTTTAGACGTGACGCTAATTAGAGACGAAGAAAATCAACTCAGGAGAAAGGTGTTTAGGAAAGCTACTCACACCGGACGTTACTTAAATTATTCATCATACCATCATCCATCGCACAAGATCTCCGTGATTGACGCATTACTATATCGTGCTTTTATAATTTCTGATCCCGAATATCTTGAGGAAGAAATTCAGCATGTCAGAACCCACCTATTAAGCAACAACTTCCCAAACACCCTCATACAATCTCGGATACAACGGATGCGTTCCAGAAGAGGAGATGCAAATGAAGACGATAAACCACGCATCATTCTACCATACATGAGTCCCGTTACTCATCACCTGACAAATTTTCTCAGAAGAAAATTAAATTGCGACTTTGGCTACATTCCTGGAAGAAAAATAGGGAACAAAATCTGCTCCCACAAGCAAAAAGAGGTACCCCCTAAAATTGGAATATATAAAATTTCATGTGACTGCGGTTCCTCATACATTGGAGAGACATCACGTCCCATGGAGGAAAGGATAAAAGAACACGAACGAGATTTAACAAAGAAGAATACTAAATCTGCGATTGCAACACACATAATTGAGAATAATAATCACAGGATCCAAACAGAGTCAGCAACTCTTATTCATAGGGAGGAGCGATATTTCCACCGGAAATTCAAGGAGGGATTGCTGATCAGGAACACAATTAATAAAATAAATCGAGATTTAGGTATGGAAATAAACCCAATCTGGACATCGCTACTCCTGTCCCTAGCGCCAACGCTTATACGCCCAACTACTAGCCCGGTTACCCAGCGACCTCACTGATGTCAACAACTTCATCTAATTTTGAAAATATTATCTTCCATGAAATTTAAAAATTTTTTCCTGTACACTTTTACACCTGAAGAAGGGGGCAGTTGAACCCTGAAAGCTCGTGAATAAACCACTTCAAAAAATGTCATCCATACGATCTGTTAATTCTACCCTAAATAAAAATCTCATTTTGCCCCAACCACACCCCTGGCGCCTAGGGGGTGTGGCACAACTCCGGAACACATAATTTTACTCTATTTCACCTATAGATTAAATTGCACTAAAAATCTCATTTTGCCCCAACCACACCCGCTGGCGCCGAAGGGGTGCGGCAAAATCGGGGAAACACTCAATTTCACTTAATTTCATTTAATTTCACTCAATTTCACTTAATTTTACCCATAGAATAAATTGCACTAAAAATCTCATTTTGCCCCAACCACACCCCCTGGGGCCGAGGGGGTGTGGCACAATCGGGGAAGCACTTAAGTTCACTTAATTTCACTTAATTTCATTTAATTTCACTCAATTTCACCTAATTTTACCCATAGATTAAATTGCACTAAAAATCTCATTTTGCCCCAACCACACCCCCTGGCGCCGAGGGGGTCTGGCACAACTCCGGAACACATAATTTTACTCTATTTCACCTATAGATTAAATTGCACTAAAAATCTCATTTTGCCCCGACCACACCCCCTGTCGCCAAAGGGGGTGTGGTCCGGTTGCCCCCAAAAGTTGATAGGATCCTCCCCCTGGGGTCCTATGTATGATGGCGAAAACCGATTTCGATTATCTCGATCCGTTCTCCTGATATCCTGCTGACAGACAGACGGACATACAGACAGACAGACAGAAAGACAGACAGACAGACAAAGTCTTCACATAAAGTAGCTGAAGCTACTTAATAAAATAATTCGGCTCATTCGCCTAATGTACTCCATGTGATGAACTCAAGTACTGTGAAACGGAGTTTAGCAAAGTTCTAAATAAAATAATATACTAGAAATATTGCACAAATATTTTGGAAATATATTCTAAAATTCGAAATATGGACAATCTTCTGTGTAATTTCTACAAAACTTTTAAATTGCACGGGACGATTGCTAACTTACCTGGAGCAGCATATCCTTCGCTCCTGGCACGTCCCATCGTCGTGCTAACATTGAAAATAGTTTGGCTTAAATAAGCATTCAAGTTCGGTCAAAAATATGGACAAACGTCTTCAAATTTTTCGAAAATATGAAAATCTGTGAATATAACAGACAACTTCGCAGCTTTTTCTGCCCCAATTTGTTTGAACGAATAGTAAAATGATCTTTAGTTAGTATCCTAACCCCTCAGATATCGCACCAAATTCAATTCCTCCTTCATTCGATGTATCGGGAAGTTGATGCTGGAAATGGCTTGCTTCAACTGAAATGAAAAAAAATATTGTTAAGGTTATGTAAATACGAACGCGGAAGGAGTACGTCTGTATTAACCAATCAAAGTCTGAGTAATATTTGAATTTCCTGCTGGATTTACAATATTTACTACAATCAGCATACATAATTGCTCAATCTCACTAATACGAAATATATACACTAAATAATCTTGAAGAAGTCTTATTTGCCTGATCCAGGTAGGATACATAATATTGACTGCTTGAAAAACTGATTAATCAAGAACTGATTAATCTGAAATTTTAAAATTTTGAAACTGTAATTTTCTATAAATATGTAATGCTACATATGTAGAACCTGCGCTCTAATAAATTGTATCACCCGATAAATTAATCACCGACACGTGACGTTACCAGATGCTTATCTTACGTCACAATTTAGTCACCGCATACATATAAAAAATCTGTGCTACTCGCAGAGGCAACCCACTACCACCATGGCAAATGCTATCTACGATGACTGTAGTAACATCTATCATCGGATTTCTTAGAATGTATTCAAGTCAATAGATCAAATTAATTGCACATCCTTACCTGTTCCAATTTTTGTTTCTCTACTTGTGTCAAACTTAAATTTTCCAGGCAAACTGTTGCTCCTACTATTGCCAAAATTATAGCAGCACCGGCCACCAGGTTCGAGACACATTTCCCACCACGCATTTTAGAATTATCAAATAAATATGTAACAACTACATGAATTAAATTTTCTGAAATTTGATATTTCTACCGTACCCAGCTAAAAGTTGGGGCATGTGGTAGATCTGACACTAACCTAACGTAATAAGGTTGATCTCCACCTTGAGGAAAATTATTTTAATTAGGCATTCAACCTTATAAATATTGGAGTAGCGTGTGCATGCAGGGTGATTTAAATGTCACGCTACAATGGAAAATTTGTCAGAGGGAAAACCCCTAAATCTCCATTATTTACAAGATTGTGGACTGAGATTTTTATAATTATTACCAAAACTGAGGACAAAATTTTTCTAATGTTGATTTTAGAGACAAAATTTCGGTAATTAATGAAAATTTAGGAATTTTTCCAATCAAAAAGTTTTCCATTGTAGCGTGACATTTTAACCACCCTGTACGAAATGGAAGAAAAACTGGTTAGGGTATGAATGCATTTGTCAGTTTTAGGTACTTTTGTACTTTAAGGTACTTTGGATATTTGTACGAATGCTAAGGTTAAAGAATAACATATGGCCCAGATTCTTTGTTTTGACACGCGAAAACTTTCAGTGTTATGTACATAAATACTCTAAATAAAAGTTGTACTAAATTTACCCAAGGTTGAGTAAAATAAGAGGATTGTTCAACAATTGGGTAAAATTTATCCAACCGTGAAGTAAAATTTGTCAGGCCGTTAGGCAAATTTTACCGAATTGTTGGATCACTCTTTTTTAACTCAACTCTGGGTTAATTCAGCACAACTTTTATTTAGAGTGGGGAAACAAATAAACATCCTGATTGATTAAGTACCTGTGCACATCTTGTGGATAAGGAAACTATTTAATTTTATTACTTTGACCCATGAATTATAAGTTTAATAAAGCATTTTTGTATGTGTAACATGCAAAAATGTTGGTTAAAATATGTACGTACCTATGTATCATAATTTCACGTCATTTTCCTGCAAAATTTTCCTCGTCGTAGTTTAATGTGTACATACCTGACACCCTAATTGTCCAGTATTATTCCTATTGCATGTATGTATTTACATATGTATACTTTTATGGACAAGGTAAAATACCCATCAGCTCAGATCGAGATAAAGGCGTGCATTTCTCATTTTTTTATTATGCAGTATGTTATTATTATAATATTTGGAGACCGATATCTGAATTCTGGATGGGGAAAATTGTTGTTAAGGAGAATCTTCGTCGTGTAAATAGGTATAAAAATAGTGTATTTTTTAAAATTTTATTTTCGGAAAAAATATATTGCTTAATTATTATTTTATCCAAATTTTTAAAATGTACATATATAACTTATTAGCTTGTCATATGTATATCAACCGATCTTTATGATTAGACATATATTTTTTGGATCTGTTTTGCACCATAATAATTGAAAGTCTGTATCCCGTTTAATGAAGAAAAAAGCACTCAATTATCTGGCCCCTTATTTGAAGTTAATTACCATTTTACCTTTCCCAAATTGATACCGATCATTTCCATCGTACACCCAATGTTGTCCCCACAAGTAGGCGTCGACAACTTCGAAAAATTCGAGTAATTCGTCATCTTGTCCAAAAATCAAGAGCAGCCCATCCTTAAGGTGCCCATACTCCAGGAGAAGCTGATCATGGTCGGCACACGTGGCCGTTACTGCGGTTTGGAGATCCATCCCCATTCGCGAGACGCGATAGTACACTTCGCTCGCGACTTGTTCATCACTTCCGGAAAAATCTCGTCTCAATCCAAGTAAATCGTTCCCCATGTACATACCTGTTCAAAAATTTAATTTTCATTCAAAATCAGTCATCCCGATTCAGTCATTTTCGTTCAAATTCATTTCACTTCACTTCATGCGACTCCACTTCTTAGTATTAAGCATAGAATGAAACATGAAAGGAGTGCGAAATCCTTTATGTAATTCACAGTCATTAATTTCAAATGACAAAATCCTTTAGTCCTTGTCGTTTAAATGACAATAAATTCATTAACTATGATTCGCATCATAATCAGCCAAATTAATGAAAGTGTTAAATACATGCTTTTATGAATGATTTTTTCGATTTCCATAAACATGACGTGATTTCGTATTCCGTCGTTGTGCAAATATTTCCCGCAGGTGAATGCAACGACATCTATCATCCACAAGGCGAGCAGATTGTACCCACGAAACGTTTTGAGTGATTCGAGGCCATAGCTAAAAAATATTATTTTTCAATATTAGGTATTTCCTTGATATTTCTGTATGTAAGGGAGTTTGCGCGAGAGTATTTTTTAAATTTAGGATTATAATTTTGATTCTAAACCGATTTAGATTGCGGGAAATTAATTTTATGTGATTGTGAATATAATCTCGATTGATGAGTGAAAATATTTACAATCAAGCTTACTATTACACTAATGTAAAAGTATGCTAGCGCAATTTCCCTATTAAAGAGGTTGAGCAGGAGTAATTTTTCGTAATTATGTTTACACATAACTTTGTTTTAAGGTGAACAAATTAACAACATAAATTACCATGCTACTGAGAAAAAACCTTTATCGCAATCTCCCTATTAGAGAGGTTGAGCAGGAATAGTTTTTTGCCAGAGTGGTTATAATTTAGTTCTTGATGACCAAATTTACAATCAAAACTACATCACTCAGGCGCAACCTCTCTATTATATGCATAACTAACTTTTTCTCAAACTTGGTCGTCATGTACCACTCGTTGCCATCGAATCCTTGCCGATTTGCGCGAATTACGCTTTTAATCTCCTTCAAATATGTCTCCGCCCCAATCAGGTCGACGCCCGTTTGAGCAATATCTTCCATCAGGTTGAACAAACTGTCGAGCTCGTCTGGATTCCAGATTGGCGAGGTCAGTGGTCGTGTCTGTTCTGGTTTCCCGCCGGCCTGCATAATGTCGATCAGGTGGGTGTGAACGGCCCGCATTCCCGCCATTTCGTCCCCCGAGAGGGGCACGTCCTTGTACCTCATTTCGATCGGTTCGTCGTACAGCCACGTCCAAACCATCCACTTCCCGATGAACCAGGTTTCCTTCGAGTCCGGAGATTTGTAGGGCATGCAGTGAATCGCAATTCGGGCGGAGGTATCCACCGCCCCCCAAAGTTCTTGGTGAAAGGTTTTCCTCCATTGTTTGTGTGTATTGTTGACAAACCTGTTCAAAAAATTTAGTTTTCATTCAAAAGTGAATCTCGATTTTTGACTGAATTTATTCATTCACATTCACTCATTTTGTTTTAAACTCAATTCGTTCGACTTCATGTCTTACCCCATGTACAAATTAAGCATTTGGCGAAAAATGAAAGGAATGAGAAATCCTAACATTCACAGTCATTGATTTCGATTTAAAGTCTTTTCATTTCGCTTCATCCTACTTCATTTCTTACTTCGCCCCATGTGTTTAGCATGAGGTAAAGTATGAAACGAGTGAGAAACCCTTTCATTCATAATGATTCATCTGAAATGACGGATTCTTTAAACTCATTTTCATTCAAATCACAGGAAATTCATTCGAATTTAGTACCACATTCTGTCAAATGAATTAAAGTGAACAGGTAACAAACCAGTCGACCAAGGCTTTCGTCAAAGTGTCGACATCTTCCGGAGTAGCGGTACTTTTGTATTTCGGGTTTAGCTTGTGATACTGGCCACTAACGACGATTGGAATTTTCGAATTCAAATCATAGATGTCTCGAACCGTGAAGGTAACCTTGTCTGGCGTAGTTTGGTTGGAACTGCAAAATTTTATTTTTTATTTACACCTGTGCAAAAAATGTTTCTCTTCATTCAAATAAAAAATTGAGAAAAACTATTCATTCATTATTAAATATTTATTTGAAAAAAATATGTTAAGATTTAGTCATAAGTTTTAATTCATTTTATCCAAAATTCGCTCTGCATTTCTTAATATGCCCTATCGGGTAAAAATTAAAACATGAATAAAATTGTTCATTCGTATTTATCATTCGTTCTTAACGAGTATGAAGTGAATAAACATCTGTATTTATTCAATGTTCACTCATTCAAAAATTAAAAAAAAATTACGCTCGTGAATAAATTCATGAATTTATAGAATAAAAAAATGAACAATTTCTTAATTTTCTTTTTAATGAATGAATTCGAACAGGTATGTATTTTTATATGTGCATATATACATGTTCAAAATAATTAAGTATGACTTTACCCCATATCTTTGTAGGAGAAGTGGTCAAGTTACTGCGTGGATAGAGGACTTGTAGGGACGACACGTTGTCAGAAATGCCTTTGTTCGACGGGTATTGAGGGATTTCTTATATAAGGGAATTTTTTTAGCATTTACATATTAATAAAACATTAATAACTTGATATATTCTTATTCTATAGACCGTTTTAAGATTTTTAACTAAGGTACAGAGATCCATCATAAATTTTAACAGCACTCGCTACATGAATTCAGATTTGAGCAGGTTGTCAGGAACACATAAATTAAATGTCTGGCAATGGAGGTATCCCAACGTATGCTCACATATCTAGGCCAAACTAGCGCAAATGGATCACAATATAATTAACTAGCGAATAAGCCCGTCTCCCGCCGGGCGAGCGAGAATTATAAGCTGGAAATGTCTGTCGGCAACGGAAGTGAAAGCAAATGATCCATAACGGAAGTGAAAGTATGGAATGGCGAGACAAAACATTAAATGCCTGAAGCTAATCTTAGGATGGTTGTCAGGTGGTGATTATCTGGGTGTGGTTATCTCGACTTCCGTTGCGGAGACTTTCCTTCCGTTCCAGACAGACATTATATGGATGTGAAATTTGCAAAAGGCATTATCCGCCAGATTTGGCGGAGATATATGAGTCCAACGAGACGGAAACCTGAGAGATTTCGCACTTTGGGGCCATCCATATATTACGTCATTACAAATTCTCGATTTGAGCACCCACCTACCCAACGTATACATTAAGAGATAGGAAATTTTAACACAGGGAAGATGGGAAGACGTAAACCACCCACCCACTAAAATAATGACAGATATAATTCTAAGACATATGGACGTTCCCTTTCCAAATTCACTGCGCGTTTTCTCCTCTTCGGATGCGAATACCTCCACGAAACGTGCC